AGGACATTGAGTTACAGAATTATTGGAGGTTATCCAACAGTTATCCTTTTTGATAAGGAAATAGAGACAGAAATATTAAGTGGTTTACCCAAGGTCATGTAGCTTATTTGTGTTGGAGTTGGGATGAGAACTCAAGCCTTCTGACTCATGTTGGGTCATTGTCAAGACTGATAGCAGAACATGTTAGTGGAAGTATATTTTGCTTTTAAAATTCTATGTTTATTATATATTCAAAGTTGTTGAGAAATCTCTTAGGTTTTAAAAAGTTAGTTATACTGTGCCAAAGAGTATATCAAACAAAAGTTATTCTTTAAATGAGCCAATAAATGTCACATTTTATGTGATAAGAAAATGAAAAAAAAATAAGTAAATATTGCCTTTATTGATAACATGCATGTTACTAAGTATGTAGACTATTAGACATATATATGTGTATATATGCACACACATGCATGCACATGCACTCACACACATAGACACAGACACACACATATATACATATATATACATATGTGTGTATTACAAAGCTTTATTTGAATGAAAAGTTGATCAGGCATATAAACTTTATTTTGAGGATAAATACAAATCTAATAAGTAAGTTTTCTATAGTTATTCAAACATAATTATACTACAGTTTAGTAAATTAGGTACTCTACTTTAGTCTGACAATCGTTCTTCTGAAATACCAAGAAGACATTTCTGCTTGGTTTAGAATATGTATTTTAACAAAAGAGTTTCATATGTATCACCTTCAAGTCAAACAGCTTCTCTTTTGAAAGAATGTTGTATATAGAGAGTTTAAACATTAGTTTTTGAATGCTCTGTTCAACAATTTCCTGACCTGGCAAGTGATGTGAATTTAGTAATTATGTAACTGTCCAGGAGTCTTCTGAAGATCAACAACTATAAGATTCTTCTCTGTAAGCCCAACTCTCATCTCTGCCCTTAGGCTTCCAAGAAGGCAAAACCCACAAATAAACAACAAATATGAGAAGATGCAATTTCTGAGTACACTTTTAAAGCTTGGCATATATATGTATATATGTGTGTATCTATCTATCTATCTATCTATCTATCTATCTATCTATCTATCTATCTATACACACACACACACACACACACACATATGTATATTTCTCTTTTGGGGTAACTATCCCTGTTCCTAACCAGAGCTCCTAATTTCTTATCTACTATTTATAGCAGAAGTGTCAATCTATGGCCAATCAGCTGTATATTACCTTGCAAAACTCCTTAGTTTTTCAGGAACCAGAATAAAATGTAATTGGAAAATGTTTAACTAAATAAAATACAACATAGATGATGTGAATTTGTGGTTTTTTAAAATCAGTATGCTGTTGGCAGGGATTATTTCTGATTTATAGGAACTCTCTTCTTATAGAAAATATAATGTGGAAACATTCTCATTAACAATAGTTCACATTTATGTATTTATTCAAAGTTTACAAAACACTTTCCTCACAATAACCCTGTCAGGTTGCACAGACCCATTTTACAGATGAGGAAATGGAGGGTCAGACTGAGTGACTTTCTCATAGTCATACAGCTGGAAGTATTTGAGTAAGGACTTACAGAATTTGACAGTTTTAAGGGAACTAAGTGGCCATCTAGATAAATGCAAATACAAAAAAATCCCTAACATAACATACTAGACAAGTGGTCATCCACCCTCTGCTTGAGGACCCCCAATAAGAGGGGACCTGCTACCTCTTATCTTTATGCAGATGACTCTCAGATCTATACAGCCCTAACCCCTCTTTTGACTTTCAAACTTGCATCTTCCTTACACGCTTATTGAAAAATCTAAGATTACTTATCTCATAGATATCTTAAACTCAACATGTCCAAAACAGAACTCATTATATTCCCCCCTTAAAAAAACACATCCCTCTCATCTTTTTTAACTTCCCCATGATTGTCAAAGGCACTCCCATCATCTCAGTCATTCAGGCTCCCAACCTGAGTTGGGACTCCTTCCTCTCTCTCATCTTCTCATTGCCAAGTCCTGTGAATTCTGCCATCACAACCTCTCTTGTAAACAGCTCCTTTTCTTTTCTGACACTGCCACAACTTTGGGTTTCTCTGACTGACTTCTATTTCTTAACCTAACTGTTTCAATTGACTACTGCTTTAGAGTATAATTGTAACATAAAGGTATAGTATAGTATAGTATAGTATAGTATGGTATAATATGGTATGGTATATGGTTTGGGGGTGTACTATTGCAAGGCCCCCTCCCTTTCCACTTTCCCCTATTATTTCCCTTGAGATCTTTGACCTTTAGTTTCTCTAGGAGATTTTATTATTGCTTTTGTTATTATTTTTATAGGGCATAATCATCTCACACCTGGACCGTTGCAATAGTTTGCTTGTTTATCTTCCCACTTGAAGTATTTCTCTACTCCAGTCCATTCTATACTCAGCTATCAGAATGGCCTTCCTATAAGGTAGGTCTGAATAAGTTTCACCTCTCCCTATTCAATAAACATCAGTGACTCCCTGTTACCCATGGAATAAAATATAAGATCCTGTTTGTCTTTCAAAGCTTTTCATAACTTGGTCCCTTCCTATGTTTTCAATTTTCTTATATCCTACTTGCTTTTACATCCTCTATGATCCAGTGACACTGGCCTTCTTGCAGTTTCTCCCATATGACTTTCTATTTCTAAACTACATGTATTTTCATAGATTTCATAGATGGAAGTGACATTAAAGATCACTTAGACTAATCCCCTCATTTTACAGATGAGGAAACTGAGACCCAGAAATATGTAGTGATTTGCCAACATTACACAGGTAGTAAGTAGCAGAATTAAGACTGAAATCTAGTTTCTTTGATTCCAAATCCAGAGCTCATTCCATTACATCACACTATCTCCCACTCTTACGCAGCAGTGGTGACAACTATTGACACTGTTATGAGAACAGACCCCAAAATCTGAAATAATTTTAGAAAGAAATTTGTTAGACCATCTAGTAGAAGAGAGTGAGCCAGAAGGGAAATGTATTTCCCTCCATTTTTTGGACAATTTACATTATATAGGATTTTGGCAAAGATTTCCCAAACAGGAACCCCATGTATGCAGTTAAGCAATTTTGTTGAGAGGGCAGCCCAAAAGCAAGGTAGACTGAGATAGATCTGAATAACTGTAACCCAAAAATGAAGCTTGGGGTGGATTCTTCTGAAGTTCCTGGGTGTGGTAACCCAAAACAAGAATGCTTTGGTTGGATCTGGGGCCTGGGAGAATCAGAAATACCTTGTAGTTATCTCTGGCATTCCTAGAAAGTTACTGGGATCAAGGGACATTCTGGATGTGGACAACCTTTAATCACATAAGGTTGTATTTAAACAGTATAATAGTTTTTCTTGAACAGTATAATAAATAATTTCCCCCACAACACACACCCCTTTTTATGCTGTTTCTATGATAACTACCCTGCCTTACAACTTTTTTGCTGTCTGTTACCCAACCCCTTGTCTAAGAATATACTTAAGTGTCGGTTTTTAAGCTTTGCCAGCAGATGTCTCCATTACTCCCTCAAACTTAGGACCATCCCAAGAAAGTAATTGTTTTTATTTTTTAACCAAAATTAAGGAAGATGATCTAATAATTTGCCTAAAATGAGCAGATGTACTGGAAAATGTTTTCCCTCTCTCTCTCTCTCTTTTAGGTAGAAACACAAGCCTACTTATTCTTCCCCTCTATGTCCCTAGACGCAAATCCCAGAGTAAAAGACTACTTTAACTGAAAATATGAAAATATCAACATTAGCCTCCGAACTAGGTTTGTTTGGTAAGCTTCAAAATCTCTGCTGTTTCCCATAAGGTACCATATCTTTTAGAGCTCCCTGTCCTCCTACTCGTCCTTCTCTTCCTCCTCCTCCATCTCTTCCACCTTCACCACCTCTTCCTCCTCCTCCTCCTGCCAGCCTCCTGCCCCTCTTCTTCTCCCTCTCTTCTCCTCCTTCCCTCCTTCCTCCTCTCCTCCACTGTCCTTCTCTCCTTCCCCCTTGTCCCCTTCCCCCTTCTCCCCTCCTTCTCTCCTCCCGGTTCCCCTCCTCCGCAGCCGCCTCTGTATAGCTTTGGGTTCAGCACTGGACAGCTCCCTATTCCTGCCCTGTGAAAGGAAGCTTGATGATTGACAGATGAATCGACCATTCAGGGAGTGAGATGACTGGATGCCGACCTACAAGGCCCCTCTGAGCGCTAATAAGGGGTTGGTTGTAGCCAAGCTGCCTAGTTAACGGACACCCGCCCTTCACCCCCAAGACTGGAGGGAGGGAAGAAAGTGTTTCCTCGGCCAAACCTAAGTACTTCAATTAACCAATCACTTAAGCATCCTCTCCTCCATAGAGACAAGCACACCTTTCTCCCCGCCCCAACCCTTTTCTCTCTCCTAAATATATTTTTGCTTCTTCAGGTTTCCTTGCAGTGCTCTGTATGTGTGTGTGTGTCAGGGTGTCTGTGCGCGCGCAATCAGAGCCTCCGTGGGATGTGAATGAGGAGGAGCTTGAGTTGGGGAGGGGGGTGAAGAGGGGGAGAACCTGCCACTGGTTAGATGATGGAGCAGCGCTAGCAGGCGGCAGCAGCAGAAGCATCTCGTTAACACACCTCAATGAAAGCGGCAGTGGAAACCGATGGGGATAAAGACGTAAGCAGGATAACTATAGCTGCCGTGTAGCGAGATGGGATGTAACCTGCTCAGATCAAGGCTGCGAGGTGCGTAATCCCCAGGGCTAACCTATTGTGGAGAGGAGATCGCAGTCAGCATTGCCACAGGTGACTTGGTTTCCTGCTTTGAGATCCAGGCTTTTTTTTAAAAAAAAAAAAATCTTATTTTTAAAATCTCCACCTCCTCCCCTTGATACCATCTTTAGAAGGAAGACTAAGAATAATAATACTATTACGATTATTAATAAAAAAAATTGAAAAGTGACTTCCCATCACCTCTGCTCCCCTCACTCTGAGACAGCCAAGAGACATGGTTTACCCCTTACTCCTTTGCCTCCTGCTTGCTCAGCTGGGGTTGGGAGCTGCCGCTTCCAGCCGTGACCCACCAGGGCGCCTGGAGCCCCACAGAGAGAGGAACCTTAGAGGCAAGCAGCATGGCCATCAGTCCGCCCAAGCCTCAGACTCTTCGACTCTCTGGAGCCGGTCCATCGACAGCACCATCTTGGCGCAGAAACTCTCCGAGGAGGTGCCCACGGACGTGGCCTCTTACCTCTACACTGGGGACTCCCATGAGCTGAAGCGATCCAATTGCTCCAGCCGCTTGGAGCTGGCAGCCGGCCTGCCGGGGAAGTCCCCCGCCATGGTCAGCTTGCACCCCTCCTTGCACGGGGCGATGGACACGCTTATCTACGCCACCAACTTCCTCAACATGATCAATAAGTCACTAGAGCAGAACTTGCAGGACGACCTGGAGTGGTACCAGGCGCTGATCCGGAGCATCTTTGAAGATGAGCCCAGCATCTCACGGGCAGCCATTACTTTTAGCACCGAGTCACTATCCTCTTCAGCCCCTCAGGTCTTCCTTCAGGCCACTCGCGGGGACAGTCGTATCCTCCTACAGAACCTGTCCTCCTCTGCTCACCATTTGGCCAACGCCACCCTGGAGACCGAATGGTTTCACGGCCTGAGGCGCAAATGGAGGCCCCATTTACACCGCAGAGGCTCCAACCAGGGGGCCCGGGGTCTGGGCCATAGCTGGAGGATCCGGGACAGCTCAGGGGGGGAAAAGAACCAGATCAGGTGGTCTCTGCCGTACCTGGAGTGCGAGAACGGAAGTTACAAACCTGGTTGGTTGGTCACTCTCTCCGCCGCTTTCTACCGGTTTCAGCCTAACGTGGTTCCCGAATTCAGGTAGGAAGAGGAAGCAGAGAAAAAAATAAACAACATGCTGCTTAGTGTGTGTATGTGTGTGTGTGTATGTGCGTGTGTGTGTGTGTTCATGTGCGCGCCTGCGCGTGTAAGGTGCGCCTACTATGCTACACTGCCCCATCCTAGAGATGGGGTTTGGGGCCCTCCACACAAGCATGGTAGGGAGAGGCTGCCCCCCTCAACTGCTCAAGAAAAAATAACCCCATCTCTTTTCATTCACCCTGCATGGGGAAAGAGAAGGAAATATGGGGTATACTCCATCTCCCCTCAATTGAGTCGTGTTTTCGGGGAGGGGTAGGGGAGCTCCTGTTGAAATGAGGAGTTGTGATCAAACTCTGCTTTCCTCAGTCAAGTGAATATAGTACCTGCCTAGAACCCAGGGGAAAGAGCCTGTGGTATCCCAGAGGATAAAAGTGGCAGGAACTGGGGAAGGAGGGGACTTCAGGTAGAGAAAGCGAGTTTCTTGTCTCCGTCACTCCGAAGTCTGTAACCTCTGCCTCCTACTAGTGTTGATAGTTTGACTCTCGCCGACGTGTTATTAGTTGCCGGAGCGTATAATTAACAAAGGCACAATTCCCTCCCGGGATTTGTGAAGGGCAGCTAGCACAGGAAATAGATTCTAGGTTAGAGAACCTGGCGCTCTGGTCAGCGGACCGACTCCCTGCGAACTCTTAGCCCAGAGCCATCGTTACCCTGTAACTAGGATTTTTCAAAGACGAACCCCTCACACTTGCTTTTTACCGCTCTCTGAATTAACTCAGGGGATGGAAAAAATCAAGTTGGATTTAGGAGGTTTAAATGTTGTGGAAAGGGATTTGTTCCTATTTAAAACGCCATAGCGTTTGAAAATATGAAATTAGAAAAATAGCCGATTACCTCCGAAGCTCCTGACCTCGGATCACCCGATTTCGGAACAACCCCTCTGAAGGGTGGGAGTGAAGACTGCTGGGACAGGGCTGAAGTAGGAAGTTCCAGGAGAGATCTGGGGTGTGACAAACATTCCCTGCAATTTGACCCTCTCCCAATTCCTTAGACTTTATAGATGGAGATTCCTGAGGGGTTTACTTTATTTCTTTTTCTTTTTTTTTTTTGTAATAGAGTCATAAGCCATAAAATTAGTACTCTTTTTTAATGCTCTCTCTGACTGAGAGCATAAAAGAGCTGAGATCTGGCAGCTAAGCTGATGGAGAGAAGGCAGTAGGATGTAATGATGGAAGCCTTGAACTAGAGGAGATCTTTGCTCTAGTCTGGGACTTAGTAATGAGCTTGCTGTGTAACCTTAACAGGCCTTATGTATAAAATGAGAGGCTTGTTCTCTATGAATTCCTTCCTTTCTCTGATAGGTGATGGCACTAGAGAGGAAAAAAAAACCAGATTTCCTTTCTATGACCTGTGCAGATCTTTTGGCTTTATGTGTGTATTTCTCTCTCTCTCTCTCTCTCTCTCTCTGTGTTTCCCTTTTACATCTTGGACAAGTCCCCTCCCCCCAATCTTTTACTGCTAGAAGGGATTGTCTCGTTGCCTCTTGATCACTGCACTGATCTTATGAGGAACTGAGTCCAGGAGCAAGCTCCTTGCAACTAATTTACTTAGAAGAGCAAAGATCAGTTAGGTACTGTGAGTTCCTAGTGTCCGTGACTTGTAGGAGAGCACTTTTCCAAGGCATCCAAGGCAAAGGAATCTAAGGGATTCTTGAGTTGGAATGGAATTTTTGTGCCAAAAGAATTTTACAAAGAATTTTTATGACAGAGATAGGCCTTGTATCTCAGCTCTTTGAAAGACAAACCTCTCATACTTGCTTTTAACAGCACTCTCAGTTATGGATTGTAGTTTGTTCCAGGTCTTTATTTTAAAGCATTGGTGCTGAAAAGATTTTAGAGCTTAGGCCAAATATTCCTGGGATCTTAAACTAGCCAAGACCCAAAGCTGAGAAACCAGAAGGCCCCAAGGAAGCCAACAGAATGCACTTTTTACCATTCTTTTGCTTGGGTCCAGAGAACAGTTCTGAGAACAGGGCACCTACTGATAGTTATTCTTCAGCTTTTAAAGACATGAAATAGGTCAAATTTAAAGTAGAAGTTAGCCAGCAGGGGTCATCCAAATAACAGAACAAGATTCTTATTTTTCCCATAGACCCTTTAGCATCATGCTCTATGATTTCCAAAGGTTGATGGGGGTGGAGTTTTGATACATAGCCAAAGTACCTTTCTATGGATGCCTGAAACCTGGACAGTTTAAATACTCTGTTCAATTCAAATATTCAATTCTCAAGCATCTTTTAGGACAGTAAGAGCTGCAAAACAGTTAATGGAACCAAAAATAGGTGTTTGTTTTATATATTTAAGGTAATATTTACATGAAGCTCATTCTCTTCATCTCTAAACTCGTAAAAGGAAGAGTCATTTCAAACTCTTAGTCATCTAATGTGGGTTTTTTTGGCATTTCTTTAAAATAGCAGAGAGATATGGACACAAAAGATAATACAGTGAGACTCAAATGAATCATTTCTCGGAAACTAGGAGACCAGTCAAGGGATTATGTTAAAAAGAATATTTCGTAACAGTAATTTGAGAAAAGAACCTCTGTAACAAAAAATTTATTGATAAATGGCATACAATATTTAGTGAAGGAAAAGCCAACAAAATATCTTTAACTCTCAATTTGATAGTCCAGAATATTTTTTCCTTACTTGGAAGATTCAGCCACTGACCACATTATTTGTAGAGGAAATAACTCTAAAACATTACATATTAAAATAAAGTAGAAAAACTACTCAATTACTGTTATAATTTATATTTATCACTCTAAGGAATGTCCCAAACAAATTTTTAAAATCTCATTTCTGGATATGAATGGCAGAAGTGTATTAAGATTCAAAATCCAGTTTAGAACGTAGATGAGAAACAGACATTAATTTCCTATCTTCCTTTCATTCCAAAAATTTGCATGCAATTCCATTCAACTGAATGTCTCAATTCATTGATTATGGACACATGACATGAATACATTTAAATTCATTTAAGCAAAAATTAATTGAGCACTTATTATATTGAAAGCCCTGGGCTAGAAGCAGTAGATATAGGAAGAAAGATGTAAAATGAATAAGATATAATTCTCTCAGCATAATCTTACAAAGTATGTAATAATAGTAGCTAGCATTTATATGTAGCACTTTTAAGTTTTCAAAGTGCTTTATATCTCATTTGATCCTTACAACAATCCTGGGAGGTAGGTGCTATTGGTATCCCCATTTTTCAGATGAGGAAACTGAGGCAGGCAGAGGTTAAGTGACTTGCTCAGGATTATATAACTAGTAAGTGTCTGAATCTGGATTTCAACTTGGTCTTCCTGATGCCCAGTTCAGTAGTCTCTCCATTTTACCACCTGGCTGTTAATTGATAATAATAATACTAATGTACTCTTTGATGCTGTTTTGATTCCTTAGTTAAAAATCATAGACCTAGAACTTGAAAGAAATTAAGATGCCATCTTGTCTCAATGCTTTTATAGTTAAGAAAATTGGGGTCCAGGGAGGTTCAATGACTTGTCCATTTTGGCACAAGAGAAGATTAGAAGATGTCATTTGATAGTAAGAAGAACAGTAGTATAAAATTAGTAATTGATTCTAACTTCTTCCTATGTTATGATAGATTGGTGATGCAATTTAGTCAGGTTTATTTTCTCTAGTCCACGTTCAATTGTCAATAGCAGGATTTGGGGGGTAACATAATATTTTTTTTAACCCAAGAAACCTGAACATAAACATTAGATCATGTCTGTTTGAGTCAATAAACAACTTTTGGATAGATAGTAGGCCCATTTGGATCACAATTCTTTCTGGATGTGAGTGTCATTTCAAAATTCTATGTGACAATAAATGGTATCCTTCTGAAGGTAAGAGATGTCATCTGAAATCAGTTGTCAAACTTTGGAAGAAAATTTGAAGCTCATGAATCACAGGTATCATAGAATCATAGAATTGTAATATCTCTCTCATATTTAACCTAAATCCTTCCTAGTACAATTTTCATTCATATTATCTGACTAATGGTCAACATTCTTCTTATAGTAATTATATGTTCATAGATTTCTGGAGAGTTAAGTTATTCTCAATAATTATAATCAGGTCTGGAATGTGAAATATATTGCCTGGAGTGGGTAATGGTGAGAAGGCACACACATCGGACCAAGGGAGAGAGTAAGTGGCAGCTAACTGTGTGTCAGACCAGCATGGATTGACTACTATTTAAGTGACTTACAGGGGAAGTATTAACAACAGTGACTATAAAAAGTTTTGGCTTCTATTCTCATCATGATGTAACTTAATGACCTACTGCCTCGATTAGTACATTTGATACTCAATGAAGGGGAGCAATTTCCACTGTAGAAGAGGGACCCTAAACAAAGCATATCCTGAGATTTCAATATTGGCTGTTTGCTGTGACCCACCTGTGAGGTAGGTAGCTGTTAGCTCCCTAAACACCTAGTCTATAGGAAACCTCAATGGAGTAAAAAGAAGACCTGTCATCCTGGTCCTTTTAGGTTAAAGATTCAGAGGGACCTTACAACCACCTCCTATATTTTCTTCAGATCTTCCTCTACTTTGTCTCCAGTTGACCCTGGTAATGATTGATTTGCTTATCTAAAAATAATACCAAATAATTAGGTGAAACTGCTTACCATTTTTGCTAATTGTCATGGAATATTTTATATATATATAATATACATATATATCTGTATACATATATAATAGCACAATAATATATAACTAAATGTGTATCAGATTAACTTTGTTGTAAGTTTTATGTGATTACCACACTAAACCTTATTTATGTTTATAATCTTTGCTTGTTGCTTGTCATCTACTCACAGCTTAGATATTAGCCTGCCACACTGATCAAGCTGTATTGATAAGAAAGTTACATCATTTTCTCCTTGGGTTCTCTCTAAGTGTGGTTGACCTATGCTTACTGTGAGAATAA